ACTACACTACAATCAAAGCTAACTAAGTACGTACATTATAAATTCACAATTTTTACCTGTCCGACGACGGAGTCACGGACGTCGACGGAGTCGCAGCGGACGTCGGGCGTGGGTCAGGCCGACGAGCCAGGCCAACGGTGGCACGACCGGGCGCTGCAGGTGTCGGGGCCGGCGGGGGCGCGGTCGAGGACGGTGGTTGCCCGCGGCCGGCGCGGGATGCCCGGTGCTCCGCGCAGTGAGGCCGACACGGCGGGCGCGGGCGAGGCCGGCGGTGGCGGGCGGCACGGCGAACGACGCTGGGCGCGGGCGGCACGGCGCGGGCGCGGTGCGGCCACGGCACGGTCACGGCACGGCGGGCACGGCGCCGGCGCGGTGAGGCACGGCCAAGGCGGCCGCAAACGCGGGTGGCACATCGGGCGAGGCGAGGGCGCGACGCGGGTGGGGGGACCGGCGTGGCCGCGGGGTCCGGCGCGGGCGGCCGGACGCGGGCGCGGGGCACGGCGAGGCGCTGGCACGGGCAGCCGACGGCGAGAGAGGGCACGGGCGGCGGCGGCGGTGCGCTGCTCGGGCGAGGCGTGGGAGGTGCAAGAGAGAGAGGGAGAGGAAGAGTGAAAGGACTGGGGCCCATACATAAGACAGGCTGGGCGCCAGTAACCCTGGCGCCGAGGTGCCTGCCAAATCACCACCACGTCTGCTTCGAGCCCAAGAGCTCGGCCGAGACGTGTAAGCTCGGCGCCAGCAATGATGGCGCCGAGCTAAGGGTTCAGATTTTGAAATCTTACCTTCAGGAACATATTTGTGATTTTGTTTTCAAAAATAGGGCTAAAAAATAAAAAAAAATCGGCCTTCGTGCGCGCAATGCTGAATCACTATCACTAAGCCTCTGTCACTTGTGTGATTGTCCTACTTTATGTGACACCCCACTAGACCACGGGCACCATGCATCCATGATGTACACCACAACCACCCGCGAGTCATCACTGTTGGTCCAATCTACCAAGATGTCATCCAATGTTGCTTGAGGCGCTTGATCCATCGTACCAATGTCGGATTTACCACAGACAACTCTGTCCATGTGCCGCTGCTTGGTTGAGAAATAATTGAGAAAGAATAAATGAAGAACCGATAATATATTGAATAATATAGTAGCCAGCTTAGAGCTTGGATACACTCCACTATCCGCCACGCCTAGAGTGCGGCAGGTTGTGGCTGCCACAGCTATGGCAATGTTTTCTCGCGTCACACACTACTACATTCAAACCTATCACAGACGATTCACAAAGCCCATCACTAGCGTTTTTCGGTCTTGACAGTAAGCTGTCGGTGGTGATGACATTCTCATCACAGGCGGTTTGCAACCGGTAGTGATAATAGCTTATCACAGTCGGTTCGTATTACCCGCCGACGGTAATTTGAATTTTAAAAATTCCCAAAAATGGGTTAAAAAAATAGCAAAAAAATTTTGTTTCAATTTTGGGAAGCCCCCCACTAGCTCCAGCTTCATGGTACTGGGAAGCTGCTCCAGCTCCAACTCCACACTATTTTTCATGGTATGCGGTGCTGGGAGTCAAACCTGAGACCTTCGTCCTTAGCTCCTCTAACCACTCCACCCTAAGTCATTTATGTCTATATAGTGTACACATTTCCCTAATATTCACTTTTTAGATTTTAAAATGAATATTTAGGACCCTAAATGGCTTCCGATAAAAAGTCATAAACTACAAATTTATTGTTCTAATCGAGATCTACAACTTTAATTTTGGTTGTTTTGCCATCCGAGGTCATTTGACAAATTTGAATTTCAAAACATCAAAATTTCAGTAAGACTTTTGGGACCTCAAATGATTTCAAATGAAAAACTCATCAACTACAAAGTTGTTGTTCTCATCGAGATCTACAACTTTGGTTTTAGTCCATTTTCCATCCAAGGTTGTTTGAAAATTTTGGTTTTTTAAAATTTTAAAACTTCAGATACAAATTTGAGATCATAAATTATTTCTAATAAAATAATTGTCAACTACAAAGTTGTATATCTCATTGAGATTTATAACTTTGGTTTTGATCATTTTTCCATCTAGGGTAATTTTTACAATTCGAAAAAATTGAATTTCAAAATTTGAGTGCTTCAAATAGAATTCTAGGACCGTAAATGGTTTCAAATGAAAAGTCATCAACTACAAAGTTGTCGATTGCATCGAGATCTACAACTTTGATATAAAGTTTGTTTCATCTGACTTTATTTGAAAAAGTTACGAATTTATTTATACTGCAGAATGGTTATCACCGTCGTATCATACAACGAGCTGGCGGTGAAAATGTCTTCACCACTAGTTCATATGGCGAGGCGACAGTGATGAGGAGCACATCATCACGGCCGGCTAGTGGTGCAAACCGTTTGTGATGATGGACTATCAACGTCGGTTGGTAAGACGAAGTGGTAGAGATAGTTATTGATACGGATGTTCTTACGAACCGGCGGTGATACTCTCATCAACAACAGTTTAAATTACGAACCATTGGAGATAGCTATCACCATTGTTTTTAATGATACCGACGATGATAGATTCGTTCGTGATAGGTCAATTTGTAGTAGTAGTGACAGTTTATCGTGGGATTTGTTCTCTACGTTTCTGTGGTAGCCTCGTTTCACTTGCCAACCAAATAGAGGCTCCATCTTTTGTGGACATCTGCGGCGTGGCAGTGTGTGGCCACAGACTAAACACCCCCTTATTGACACCAAAAGGAACAATATATATACATTGTTGAAGTATATACTGTACATGTAATTTAATATGGTATCATGATCAAATGTCTTCAGCTTAGATCATATTTCTATGTTAAATCTTGAGGAAGCTTGCACGTGAGAGGGAGTGTTGAATTATAAGGGAACTACCCGTGTTTAAGTTGAAATATCCTATAATTTTGTCATGTAATATCTAAATAATTAGGTTGGATATAAGAGGCTAATAGTGGTGTTAGATATCCATTACAATGGCCTACATAGGACATGCATAACTTTAAAAATTATATATGAGGAAAGTTTGAGAGGGTTTGATACACATTTAACTAAAGTTTTTTTTAATTAAAGAGAACTTATATATTATAAAAGCTCTAAAATTTTTATTGGTCAGCGATTTGATACACGACCTTAGCTTGGAACAACTTCCCAGCCTCTGCCTAAGTGATAGGCACACAACTTAAGAAAAAAAATTGAGCACACTCTAGTGACATTCAATCCTAAGACTAGATCGTCACCCATAGATATCCAAATGATTGATAAAAACTTTCTAGAAACATATTTGGTGAAAAGCCATGTAGGTGGCTATGTTGACATGGAAAAAGTCCCACCCATTTTCAGCCCCACAAAAATAATTTATGTGGTCACATTTTTTGTACCACTTTTGCTTTAACCGATCCTAATTATTAGTATACTACTCTTAAGTTACATGTCGTATTATTTCTGTCCTAAGTTAAATATTATACCTATTTTTGGGTACTATCAATTGTAAAAAGTTGTATAGGTTAACAACTATATTTTTAGATTCACTATGAGACAATTTCATAATATATAATTCACATACTGTGGAGCTATATGAATTTCTTGGAATTGTTGGTCAAAGATAAAAAAAAATATTTAACTTATCAGGACAAAACTAATACAACATGTAATTTGAAACATCAGTGTTGATTTCGAAAACTGGATCCTAGCTATTAGTGTACTACTCCCTCCATTCCAAATTATATGTTGCTTTGACTTCTTTGGTATGTAGATTTTGCTATGTATCTAGACATATGTTATATCTAGATATAGCAAAATTGATGTATCAAAAAAATCAAAATGACTTATAATTTGGAACATAGAGAGTATTTATAAGTGTCGATTTCAAAAACCTGAATTGATATTGAGAGGTGTTTTTGGAAAGAAAACTCATACTAATGTTCAACATATCTAGATATAGCAAAATTGATGTATCAAAAAATCAAAATGACTTATAATTTGAAACATAGAGAGTATTTATAAGTGTCGATTTCAAAAACCTGAATTGATATTGAGAGGTGTTTTTGGAAAGAAAACTCGTACTAATGTTCTGGCCGAGGTCCCTAAATAGGGTACCGTGAAGTGTGAACACCATACAACATTCGAATTTCTTCCATAAGTCTGCTAACTAGTAGTAGCTACCATACCATGTGAGCACATGTAGATATAAACTTTTGTGATATATTCCACAGTACAACAACCATGTAGCCACCGACACGGACGGAGCTACGTGGGGGCTAAACTGGGTCCTGCCCCCCCCCCCTTGCTCTGGCTGCACTCTACAGGTTTACATGTCGCTGCATGTATGTAATTAATTTTTGCATCTCTTGTACCATGCTTGCTGTTGCTGATTAGTGGATTACAGCTTACAAGTATATAAATCTGTACATTGTTCATTCTTCTTTGACAGGATTTCAATTGTTCATTGCAGTATATATAGATAGAACTTGAAAAAACAAAGATTTTTCACAGAATTCCAATTAATAAGTACTGTAGCAGGGCCCCCTCCACATTCATGCAAGCTCCGTCGCTGGCCACCGATCCCCGTGACAGCAGACACGTCCAACGGTGCCCTGTGAGGAGCACATGCAGATGAAGGTACCTGCGAGGTGCGAGCTACTACTCCTAAGCTCCTACTCCCTCCGTCCCATTGAGTTTGTCGTTGGAAAACCGTGCCCCCCTCACAATCCCGCTTCCCGAGCGACAATCTTAACGGGACGGAGGGAGTACTACGTACGTATAGGACGGTAGGAGTAGCAACAACCACTCTGGTCTCCCTCTGTACCGTGTGCCAGTCTGCTACTACTCCATCGCCTAGCATATATGAGGTGCCTGCCTGCCTGCCTCTTGCATTTGAGCAGCGTGCGAGATCGAGCCAGTGATAAGCCAAAACAGCCGGCCGTGTAACGGACGCCAGGCGCCGGCAGGCTCTGCAAGTCGATCTGCAGCAACTGCAGACGCCATGGAGGAGTACAAACCGTGTGCGGCCATGGTGGTGACGCAGTGCATCTACGCGGCTCTAGCGCTCTGGTCCAAGGCGGTGTTCACCGGCGGCATGAGCCCCCTGGTCTTCGTCGTCTACAGGCAGGCCGTTGCCACCATTGTGCTCGTCCCCGTCGTCATCGCGGCCAACAGGTGCATGCATGTCTTCATTTCTGCTGCTACTTTAATTTGACAACTTCGGCCGATCGTATACAAATACGATACCTGCACCAGCTGTTTCATCATCACCTGATTCTTGTCGTCCGCCATGGCTCGTGGATCTGCATGCAGGAGGAAGATGAAGGAGATGATGGGCCGCCTTGGAATGACAGGCTTCTCCTTGGTCTTCGTCGCGTCTCTTGTCGGGTATGCAATATATAGAGCAATACAGTACTAACGCACGGAAGATCGGACACGGAAGAAGCCTGCATCGCCGATTCACATCAATATTGTTTGGGTTTAGCTACAGCGTAGAGGGAAACCCTTCAGATTCTTATTTGTGAGTTAGTTCTGACATCAAGTTTTGCTCTATGCATGCGGCATGCGACAGGGCGACAGTGAATCAGTGTTTGTACTACCAAGGGGTGAATCTGGGCTCGTCATCGATGGCAACGGCCATGACCAACTTGATTCCGGCCATCACCTTCGTCATGGCAGCATCAGTCGGGTGAGTACCTGACAGAGAAGAGAGGAACCGTTTCATCAGCAAATTAGTGGATCACTGTTTCTCTGCTCCACTGGCATAGTACTGCGTTAGGTTGGCTCCATGGCTGCATTATTAGTCGGGTGCTCTGGACCAAATAAAGCGGCACATCATTCACCAGCGGTCCAGTATAGGACATTTCGTGTAGGTCAAAAGTTGAACTTTCTAATCTTTGATCAATAATTTAGCTACAACTTCTAACTATTATAATACAAACTTGATACTATTAAACTTGTAATTAAATGTACAGTCCAATAACCATAAGTTTATAATCATAAATAATATAAAATAAAATAAATAAATGTATTAAGTGTAATTTAGGAGGGAGTAATTAGTTACACGTTTATTCCGGGACCGTAATATAGCCTCAGAACAAAAGGGCATGGATGGCCACATGACGCTGCCTACGACGGTAGCAACAAACCACTTCTTTTTGCAGGGCCAATATCACAAAGATCAAAGTCCCATGAATCAACAATAAACTTACATGAGCTCGAAAGCTAAAGCTTAATTTGGGAAGTTGTGAACATCGAACAGATTGGCTAATACATCTCTTTTTATGCGACAGAATTAAATTCAGACTTGGGGTTCGGGCATAACAAGCGACGGGTTGCCTCTTTGGATTTATATGTTTTTTCTTTTCCAAAAAATCAAGATCCAGGTCATGCATACTTATGCTGACAGTCTGGCTCTCTGTCAGCTTTCAGAAACAGCATATTTTCAGCTCATGCATAACACTTTCCAGACGGCCCTGGTCGTTTCGCTAAAATTTAGCTTATGCTGATTTATTGGGAGAAGAAAATATTATTCCTTCGCTGAAAAGTATAGATGAAATAGTGCTGCATAACTAATGACAAAATGATCAGTAGGTTCATGCACTAGGTTCATGCACTACCTTTTCCTGCCATGTTAAATTATTTTGAGACGCCCACTAGCTCCAGAATATTCTGCCACTCGTTCCATTGATCGTCTTCCATTATTAGACTGTTACAGTACCCTCGTGAATTGGCAAGAGTAGTACAGAGTGTGAATTTGCTGATACTGTCGTGTGATGTGATGCCTCCATCACATCAATCAACAACAGGCTAGAGAGGGTGGACGTGAGGAGGCCGAGGAGCCTGGCCAAGATCTTGGGCACGGCCGTCTGCGTCAGCGGCGGGCGGCAGCAGGTGGGTGACGGGCGCGCTCTTCCTGGTGGGCAGCAGCTCCTGCTGGTCGCTCTGGCTCATCCTGCAGGTGCCCATCTGCAAGTCGTACGTGGACCCGCTGGCGCTGTCGGCGTGGATGTGCCTCCTGTCCACGCTGCAGTCCGCGCTGCTCGTCGCCTTCCTCCTGCCGGACCCGACCGCCTGGAGGATCCACTCGCTCTTCGACCTCTCCTGCTGCCTCTTCTCGGTAACTGTCGTCAACGATATGATGCATGCATGATCCGTCGCCGTGACTCGCATTGTTGCTTCCTCTCGGTGATGGCGCCGTTCGTGGACCTTGGAGGTGATGTCGTCGTGGCGGTGTGATGGCAATGCAGGGGGTGTTCGGGTCAGGCGTCACGTTCTACCTGCAGTCGTGGAGCATCTCAGTGAGGGGACCGCTCTACTCCGCCATGTTCAACCCGCTCTGCACCGTGATCACCACCGTGTTCGCCGCCGCCGTCCTCCGCGAAGAGCTGCACGTCGGCAGGTTCGTAATCGTAATGCATGCAATGCAAGGTTCATTTCGTACGGTGATGCTGCATGGAGTTGTGAGTTTGTGACGAGACATGACATCGATCGATCATTTGTGGCTGACCGATGATCGATCAGCTTGCTGGGCGCGATCGCCGTCATCGCGGGGCTGTACGTGGTGCTGTGGGGCAAAGCGGGCGACGGCAAGAGGGCCGGGATGGAGCCAGAGCAGCACTCGGAAGATTTGGAGAAGACGTCGGCGCGGTCGGACTCGACGGTCGACGTCGGCAGTGGCATCGCCGAGCCCCTCCTGGCGGCCGGCGATGATCCAACGGAGAAGTAGATGGGATTTTGCTCCTCAGCGTTCTGTTCGTCGTCGTTATGCTACCGGCGCAGTGCCGTCCCATCTTTGCAATGTACAGTACTCCAGCAGTTTCAAATGGCCGGTTGGTCGAGTTTGATTTCATCTCCATGCTGCCGATGTGTATTATCCGCACGATTTTGTTAATCAACGCGGCAAACCCCCGCCGCCGCCGTGTTCCCGTCCAGGCGTCCAAAGTCGTCGCCAACTCCGGTCCGGTCCGCTCGCCGTCGTCTCCATTCTCCAACTCCGTCTAGCTTGTGGGCTGGCCGGGTCTGGGCCTGCTGCGACTACATGGCCCACATGCCGCCGCTTCACAGTCCTAAAAAAAAAGGCCCCATCGGGCCGGGTCCAAGAAGCAAGCATTTGTCCCAGTAGAATCAGATGGGCATAACCAGGCCCGTATATTTTAGACCAACTCGGAAGATGATATTTGCAGGCGCACCAATCTAAGACCAACTGAACTGGGGAAATTCTCACGTCAACAAGGGCGGAGCCACAGTTCGAATGTTGCTATATCAATCAAATCACGTAACTTTGTAAACAATTGTTAAATGATCCTATGATTTGAGCACGATTATTATATATATATATATATATTATGTACTATGACATCAATGTTTCCGCCCTGTGTATGCCAACTGATCAGGCGCTCACACGTTGGATTTCAAGTCATAGGCCTTTTAAGTTTCGTTCTAAATTACACATATAATTTTGATCAAAGTAATATATAAAATACACCAACATTTATATACATTATTAAATTCTTAATGAAAATGAATCTGGTTTAGCTCCAGCAAGCGGCAAAGAAGACGTCTACGTTGGGCGGTGCATGGCTATCTGCCGACTGTATGGAGCCAAATGTAGTCATTGGGTGTGTTTGGTTGGGTGACTCTTGGCCTGGTGTGCAGGAGTTAATTTGGACTTGTTTGATTGCCTATGGACTGGGCCTGGCTCAGCTCGCGTGGGGAGTTCTCGTGACGCCATCTCCGTCCGCGGCACCATCTCCGGTCGAGCAGCTCCGTCCACGGCCGACGGTCGGCGAGCGAGCGCCGCGCCGTCTCGGCCAGCTGGCTCACGAAGAGGCGGAATGAGGCACCTGGCCGTCGCGCCGCCGTCTCTACTCCGACCCAACCAAATACCGCATCAGCGTCGTCTTCCCTTCCGGCAGGGGCCCAGGCCGCTTCCCCGGAGAGCTCCGTGGCGCGGCAGGGGCGGAGGGGAGGCTGCGAGAAAATGCGGGCGCTGGCGCGCTGGATCGAGGCGGTGGCCGTGGAGCGCGCGGCGGAGGAATCGGAGGTCGGAGGCACGAGACGCGGCGACGGAGTCGCACGGCAGGTGCCCAGGCCGCTTCCCCGCAGAGCTCCCTGGCGTCTTCCCCGGCGAGCTCCGTGGCGCGGCAGGGGCGGAGGGGAGGCTGCGAAACCACCTGCTCCTCCACTCCAACAACTCGCTGTCGCTGACGCTGGCGGCCTCCGTCATGGCCGCGCTCGCGCCTGCCGCGCCGGCCATGGACGCGCCCAAGGCTTCGGCCGGGGTCCTCCTCGCCACGGCGACCGTCACGATGGACTCCGTCAACAGGGTCCAACCTTCGCAGCTCGCCGAGGAGCAGCGCAACGCCACGCGCCTCTGGTGGACGTGCCCGGGCTGCCGCCGGTGCCTCCGCCGTCCCTCTCTAGTGCTACTCTTACATTGGACTGACGCAGCAAGCCAAACTGAAGATTACTTTCAGCAGACAGCAATGTTGCGTGCAATCGAAACTGAAGATTAGTTTCAGCAGACGGCAATGCCGCGTTCAATCTGGCGTCAGAACATGAGCACGATGCATTATTAGCTCATAGCATTTCATTACGTTTCTGAAGTAGCACGATGCATGCAATTCCAACTGAAATTCAGACGTCAGAATATGGGCGCAACGGAGGTCTTCATGGACGAAGACGAGAGCAGCTAGCATCACCGCGATGGAGCTTACCACGTGTTCGATAGAATGCTTCGAAGGGTAACCTTACCGGGCTAAAAATACGGTGATTCTATGCCAGATAAAGCAGGCAACCAACCAAACAAACTCTTATCGAAACTAGGTCAATAGGTTTAGCCTAGCCAGGCTCCAATTAAAGCATGAAACCAAACAGACCCATTGTGACTCGCTCCCCTGATTCCCTCCACCTCCAGGCTCCAGGCGCATACAAAGCCTCGGGTTCTGACGGCCACCACAAGTGAAGAGAGCTCCAAAGCACGGTCTTGCAACGCTTCCTCCTCTCTCTCTCTCTCATCAGCACGCGCGCACAGACACACTCCAACTCCAGTGCCTGGCCCAACATGGCCGGCGGCGGCATCCGTGCGGGTGCGGAGGGCTACAAGCTGTGCGCGGCCATGGTGGCGTCGCAGTGCATCTTCGCGGCAATGACGCTGTGGGTCAAGGCAGCGTTCGGGCGGGGCATGAGCCCCATGGTCTTCGTCGTCTACAGGCAGGCCGTCGCCACCCTCGTCCTTGCCCCGATAGCCATCATCGCCAATCGGTACGAGTTGATCAATCAAGTGTTCAGTGATGCTGCTCCTGCTTCTCGTCCCCTAACCACTGATGTGTTTTTCTTTTTTTTTTAAAAAAAAAAAAAATCTTAACTGATAGGGCGAGGCTGAAGGAGATGAGACTGGGAATGAAAGCTTTCTTTTTGGTGTTTCTGGCGGCTTTGTTTGGGTACGGGGTGCCTATAAATTCTTGTTAACTTCTGAACATAATCGTGCTCCTCGAACATATGCTTCCTCTGTTCTTGGCAACCCTCATCTTTTCTTGTGCAACAGAGCTACAGCGAATCAGAACCTGTGCTACCAAGGGCTGCACCTGGGGACGTCGTCGCTGGCCACGACCATGACGAATCTCATACCGGCGATCACCTTCGTCATGGCAGTAGCCGTTGGGTGAGTAACTAGAAAACACGCCTGCCTATGCTTATATATAAGTTTTAACTACTAGTATGTTCCAGTAGTTCTAGGTGTATTCTGCACAACAGTTGTGCGATAGTTACAATGACTTGTCATTTTGTCAATGATCCAGAGGCCACTAACGCACACAAGGCGCGGTAATGTTCTGCTCTAGTTGCTTGTTATATTAGTCATGATGGCATGAGATGGCGTGTCACCTAGCTTGTCACATGCATTGCATACTCTCTTTGTCTTTTGCGATCAGCCGATCACTGTCTGGAGTGCCGTTTGGTCTCGATCTCTTGTAGCTAGCTTTGTCAGTACCTAATAAAGCTGAATGCCTGATGCCTGAATGTTCCTTCCCATCCATTTGTACATGTTTCATGAGATCCCATCTTTCATCCAGTCCTAGATTTTTTTCTTACTTGAGACAAATAAATCACTTTACTTGAAAGAAGGTCATTTTCTGTTTATGTGTTGATTGATTCGCTAAAGAGAATTGCAGTGAAGAGAAAAGTCAAGGGTCTATATTTTTCAGTATAAGAGAAAGCAAGATATATGGGCTAACTTATAATTTGTTTTTTCTTGCATTTTCATCACAAAGAAGAAATTATATAATTTATTTCATATCTTCCCATCGTTCCAATATCTTGGTTGATGAAGTTTGGAGCTTTTTTTTCTAACATCCATTGAAAAATTATGTGTTTCTAAATTGTTTTTTAAGGAATAGTTCCAGCATTAGTAAATACATATATACAATCAATTTTCAACTCAATTGTCAATCATTAAAATAAGCAAAAAAGCACACAAAAACTTAAGAAAATCATAAGCAAAGTCTATTATTGCTTGGTCATCCATTATTGGTGAAGATATCCAAAGTGACAACTTCTAATGTTTTGTTTGCCAAATGGGCTATCTTTGTTGTGTCCGCTGCAGCAACACCTAAAACCGCAGCCAATATGTTCTCTTGAAAGTAACCTGCAAAAAGAAAAAGAAAATCTCAAAGCCACTCAGAAATGGAAGGAATAACTGCTGCGAAGGTAAACCATAATGCTGCTGAGTGATCTCTTGGAGATAGAGGTAAGACTTGGAGTCGAGAACTTATCTCTCTATCGACAGCATCTTGATCTCGATGTGCCTATCTTGGGAACTGCTCTTTTTTAGAAACTGGGTGTTGCCTGAGCACTGAATTTCCCACATAACAGCTACAACTCCCACAATGATCCAAATAGTATTACCTTGTTGACAGTCAAAAACTAGATGGTTAATTGTTTCACTGCAATCACAAAAACAACACTTTTGAATGTCGGTAAAAACCAGGTGTTTAATTGTTTCACCGCAATCACAAAAACAATACTTTTAGATGCTAGTTCAATCGCTTTTGTTAAAATTATATGTAGTTGGGTGTACCACGTGAAAATCTTTATCTTAAGAGGGATTTTCAACTTCCCAATAAACTCATTGGTGAAAGGGGTGCCTTGGTTTATCAAATACTGGTACATTGACTGCACTAATAATTGCCCGTGGTTATGCAGGTCCTAGTTAAAAACATCTCTCTCATTGAAAAGCTGAATGTTGATTATTTTGGCTACTAGATTGTGTCAGGTAGTCAATTTGTCCCCAACTAACCTCTTCAATAGGAGACATGAAGCATTTGATTCAAGACACTCTCCACCATAACATGTGAATAATGACTATGTTATACATGCTAGAGAAGTATTGCTCTTTTAGGGAGTGTAGAACCTACACATGTATCTTTCTAAAATCTAGTTTGTGAGCCATATTTTATTTTGAAAGCCAAGTCTCACAAAAAAAAAAATCATCCCTGACCTTTAATAAACATTTCAAAAGCTAAGTCCCCAGGTTAATTTAAGTCTGAGTTTCTACATGAGCCCTAGGACCTGGCTATGAGATAAACTTTTATATACGGTTTTCAGGAGAGTCAGGCTAGTTACCCATCTCAATAAAGTATATAGCTATTTGTTCAAAGAATGTATAGGGATTCAAGCAATTGCGGATGATTTTGCTAGTAAATATGTTCATCCTATTGTTAATAATTTTATCATTTAGGGAGGATTACACTTTTTCTTTTCTAGTGCAAGACTGCAAGTCAATCGGTTTACTATGACATTTTACTATCGACCAACCATTACAGATAACTTTCCCTCAATTCAATATATAATGACGGAAACCATCTTTAGTTTCTTAATCTGCTAAATTCATTGATGGTTAGCATGTATTACCAATTTGCCACAGATTCTTAAAAGAGTTAAATACACCACCATCCCTTGAAATATTCGTCATGGTGCACCATTAGACCCACGGACTTTCAAAACCCATTTTTAGTTCATTATTAAACTTGTCCAATAGTGCACCGTATGTTCATGTTACCATTTCAGCACATTAGGATAACTGATTGTTAATTAGAGAAGGGAGTGTTTTTGTTTCTAGTTAATTCCTGCTTTTTATTCAGTACAAGATAATAATTTTTGGCCATTCAATAGATAGAAGTTGTGCCTTTTGTTAAACTTATCATCTTAGAATAACCATTCCATTTTGTAATCGTGCTTGGAATTCACATTTACTTCTTTGGATGATATACGTTTTTCCCTGCCTGTATTTTTCTAGGCCGGAAAAAAATATTGGCTGCATTTACTAATGTTAGTGCTTCAATCCATGCATGAAATTCATCAACAGGCAAGAAACAGTGAACATCAGAGAAGTAAGTAGCACGGCTAAGATCTTAGGCACGGCTGTCTGCGTGGGAGGAGCCATCACCATCGCGTTCTTCAAAGGTCCGAAGCTGCCGAGGGAATTTGTCAGTGACCCGTTCATGCTTCTGCATGAGTTCAGCAGCAACAACTGGGTGATGGGTGCGCTCTTCCTCGTCGGCAGCAGCTCCTGCTGGTCCTTGTGGCTCATATTGCAGGTCAATTCACTATGCAACCATCATGCCTAGACTACACAACCGTCAGAATTTTACTAGTAGTACAAGAAAGAGTGAGTAGTCAGATAAAAACATGGTAATCTTGTTTCCAGGGTCCTATCTGCCAACGGTACGTGGATCCTCTGTGCCTGTCGGCCTGGACCTGCTTCCTCTCCACCCTACAGTCCGCCGTGGTCGCTTTCTTCCTGCTGCCGGACCGTAGCGCGTGGAGGATCCACTCGCTCTTCGAGCTCTCCTGCTACGTCTTCGCGGTCAGTGCCACTTCGTTTCAGAAACTACGCAGTCGGAGGATGAGATCGATCGAACTTCTTGGCTAACAGAGACACTGGTCGTGAGGTCGACGGAGTGCAGGGCGTGTTCGGGTCGGGCGTGGTGTTCTACCTGCAGTCGTGGTGCATCTCCGTAAGGGGCCCTCTCTACTCCGCCATGTTCACCCCGCTCTGCACCGTGCTCACCACCGCGCTCTCCGCCGCCATTCTCCACGAAGAGCTGCACATCGGAAGGCACGCTCTCTCCTTCTCTGAAAGACAGACATTGTTCCTTCAGTTCTCTGGCGTTCTCATCAAGCGACCAAACCGTTTTTGCATCAGGGAGTGCTGACGCCAAGAACTGATTCCTTTTGTGTTTCTTTGCTGTCCGTCCAGCTTGGTAGGGGCCGCGGCCGTCATCACTGGCCTTTACATCGTCTTGTGGGGCAAAGCAGAGGATGCCAGGATGGGGAGGATGCCACCGGCTCTAAGCAAAGCGGACGTTCAGCCGCACCCTCACTCTCACTCTCACTCTCAGCTTGACATTGAGAACACTCTCTCTGCACCTCTCATGGCAGGCAGGGAGCGTGCACAAGCACGCAACTGATCTAGGGAACAGAGTAATTCTTTTCGATTGCTATATATCTGGAGGTAATTGTAGCTGTGAAAATGTAAGTGTGGCGTGCCATTCTTAAGCTACATAAGAAGTAAAGAACTGAACAAGCTGATGAGGTGTTGAATGCGACAAGGACTGTGGATATACAATTATACAGTAGGATAGAGTAGTAGTATGTGGTGGTGCTTGGCTGCTAGCAGATCATGTGGTGGAGATGCTCCTGTAAGGCGGCTTGTGTGATGCTAAACACTGAGGAGGATCTCCTTCATCTCCTTTTTCGTTGTCCTTTTGCCCAGGCATGCTGGTCCACTCTGAATGTCTATTTGCCCAATTCAGATGATATCCTGGTTGTCTTGGAGAGCCTCAAAATTCAGATAAATCAGTCTTTCTTCATGGAAATTATCATTACAATATGTTGGGCCATCTGGATGCTACGCAGTGACATCATTTTCAAGAATATTTCACACTCAGTTCAAAGATGCAAGTCTGTCTTCAAGAAAGGGTTTGCGGTCCTAAGAGCAAAAGAAGCGCAACACCCTTCACTAGATTTATGGCTAGACAACTTTGTTTAATCCTAGCTATCTTCTTTTTGACGTTTTATGTATCTTGATTTGGCCTGTAACTCTTTGTTTCTATATTTAATAAATTTCCAGTAGGGGCTTAAGCCCCTCCTGCTTCATAAAAAAAAAGAGACGGTGATGTGATCGGGGCCTTGGGGAGTCGGGGCAACGAAGAAGAAGAGAAATCGACCAAGTTTGCTGGTAATCGATTAATGATATTATCAATTCATATGCTGACACCGGCATGAACTAGTTCTGATGAGATCCAGTCGAATATTTTTTTAGAAAAGGAGGTTTTCTCTGCTTTTGTATTAAAAGCAAACAAGTATCCAAATTCAGCGTTTTAGGCGCGCCCGCCTTACAAAACAGTTCTTAGTCTGACGGCGACAACACCGCATTGTTTAACGCCACATTGGCAACTAAATCCTGCTCCAGACGCCCTGAGAACACATCAGACTCCTGTAAACATGTTGCAGCGCTGGAACCCGTAAGCCGAAAACACAATGGTGCCAACTCTGATGACGATTCCACCTGATTGTACCACATCAGCTGAGGCAGCATTGATGTTCTGCGTTCCAGTTGGATAATCACCTCCTCTATACGCACTGCAGAATCTTGCTGCATCATTGAGATCCATCTTCGTAACATCCTGGCGATCTTGAAGAGAACGTCCTTCATGCCCATTCACTTGTGCCCCTGAAAACATAATTCATTCCGGAATTTTCAAAACGACCATAAGACAGCCACTGAAATAGTATTTGTAACCTTATGTTTCTTATTTGCTAGTAAAAAACGAGCAACCGATTCAAAATCATGACCAATTCTTAAACCAAGGAGCTCAGAAATATAGTCCCAAACCAACTTAGCCACACATCACTCAAAAATTAGCCACACATCACTCAAAAATTAAGTGGTTGATAGATTCTTTCTCACTACACAGAAGACAAGTATTATCATTAACAGTTCTCCTTTTTGCCACATTATCCCGAGTTAAGAGCTTGTTTTTAGACAGGAGCCACAAGAAAAACTACACTCTTGGAGGGATAGGTAACTTCCAAATTGAACTAACAAACACTGGGGAAATTCCCCTAAAATTGACAACAGCATACAAGGATTGTACTGAATATTTTCCAGAAGAACTATATGCCCAGATAATTTGATCCTCCTCTTCAAAGAGGGTGACCTCACTCATCAAATTCACCAACTCCCACCAAAGGTTCATACCTTGTTCAGACACCGTCCTTCTAAAAGTAAGCATCAAATTTTCACCATCCCAGATCTCTCTCACAGACTTTCCCTGTTGTTCATTAATGACATACAGGGGCCAGTATAAAATAGTTAAACTAGTATTTCCCTTAATTTTGAGTAGTGAAGAGGGACTCCTAGATAAGATCCAGTCGAATATTACATGCATGATTAATTTGCATATCCGTCAATTTTCTATCTCAACGATTTGGTTTGACGACGGAACTCCACCGGAGAAAACAATCAATCGCCCGTAAACAAATGCCAGAGTGACGGCGCAGCTGACTCATCAGAGCACGCGCGGCTGTGTAGCTGCTCGTTTGTCCGCGAGCGCGCAGGGGGCGCGCGCACATGGATGCTCCTACTCAGCTGGCGAAGCGGCGGATCGAGGGAGACTGGGAGAGGCGCCTCCTGATCTCTGCCCGTACGTCTCTTCCTGCCCCGTTCCCACGCGCGCTCGCGGATCTAGCTCGCGCGCCATGGCAGGCGCCGGCGCCCCGCCGTGGCTGGAGCGGTGCGGGCCGAGCGTGGGGATGGTGCTGGTGCAGCTGTTCTACGCGCTGGTGGACGTGGCGCTCAAGACGGCGTACGGGCTCGGCATGCGCCCCATCGTCTTCGTCGCCTACCGCCAGGGGATCGCCGCCGCCACGCTCCTCCTCGCGTCGCTCGCCACCAGGGGGTGCACGCTGCAGCCCATGGCCGTCGGCGCGCGGGGCTTCGCGCTCCTCTTCGCGGCCTCCCTAGCCACGTGAGTACGCAAAGATGAGCATGAGCTCACTCCTAGCTAGTTCTTCATCGACCTCTGATTTCTGATTCGATGGGAATTATATGGGACAGTGCGACCGGTCAATACTTCTACTTTCTGGGCCTCCACCTGGCTTCGCCGTCTATGGCCAGGGCCACCACCAACCTCGCCCCCGGCATCACCTTCGCCATCGCCGCCGTCATCGGGTAAGTGACTGTACAGTGTTCTCTTTCTTTGTTTTTTCCCCTTTCTTTCTGTTCTGTTTTGTTTTCGAGGAAAGTTGGGCCTACTACCATTTCGCGTTTTTAGACTACTGGGCCAGAACAGACTCTTTACAGATGGGCTTATTTCCTTTGTGGGCCCAGTTGGCTCTGTTGAAATGAAAGAAGGAACATCCCAAGGCCTCGCCCGTAGCAGCCAAAATTCTCACTCCCGCCTTCCATCCTGCTCTCACCTCGCAGGCTAGAGAAGGTGGATATCAGAAGCTTGAGGAGCGTCGCCAAGATCGTCGGCACCGCCATCTGCCTCGCCGGAGCAGCAATCATGGCGTTCTTCAAGGGCCCAGGGCTCCTCGGCGCAGCTCTTCTCTCGGCGACCAGTGACAGTGACTGGGTCAGAGGAGGGATCTACCTCGTGGGAAATGCTATCTGCGTCTCCATCTGGTACATCTTGCAGGTACAAAACAACTGATTACAGTGACGCCAATACGCCATCGACCGTCCTGGCAAGATTCATTTTCACTCAACACATCATCACCGTGGCTGAGGTGACTCACTGGTGGCAGCGCTGCGTCGAATGGTTTCAGGTGCCGGTCTGCAAATCGTACCTTGATCCTCTGTCTCTGGCGACCTGGATGTGCTTCCTGGCGACCTTGCAATGCGCGGCGATGGCGCTCTTCCTGGAGCCCAACTACCTGGAGATCTGGAAGCTTACCTCGTTCTGGGAGTTCCCCTGCATCTTATATGGAGTAAGCTCACCTGGACCGCTGGTCCATCATCTACACATGGGTTTGAATTGCATTGCATAGTAAACGAGTGATAGAAAGTGAACAAATTTTGTAGGGTGTGTTCGCGTCTGGCGCCAACTTTTTCCTCCAATCATGGTGCATAGCAGTCAAAGGACCCCTCTACAGCGCCATCTTTACGCCGCTGAGTGCTGTGATCACAGCAATGTTATCCACGCTCTTCCTTCATGAACAGCTCCATGTTGGAAGGTATGCTTGCTTCCACTTTGCATAATGCAGCATAACGTCTGAACACCTTGCATCGCTACTATATATAGTCACTAGACAAGTATCAACCGTTCAATCGGCAGTGATGTCACTGATTTTTTTTCCCCTCTTGTGCAGCGTCTTAGGTGCAGTTACGATCATCGTTGGCTTGTTCGTCGTGTTGTGGGGTAAAGCGGATGATACGAAGGGCAGAGATCTCCAATCCAGTGATTCCAAGCAGACAGTAGATGCGGATTGCATTGCTGTCAGAGTAGAGACTCGAACCAATCTTTCAGAACCATTGCTACCGACGACGACGGATGCTAATACTCAGTCATTCTAATTTCTATTTGAGAACATGATAACTGCATGTTCAAACTTGTTAATGGTTCAAACTTCCAACGTTTCAAGTGTGGGGATGCTATTGTTGGGGAAGTAGCCCACTATAGGAACACACCCATTGTAGGGCTGACAGTGGATCGGGTAAGATGCAGGTAGAGTAAATACCCGTGTGTTAAGGGTGAAGGTTATATTTCAACATTCAACTATAAAAAAATTTCTATTTTCAAACTTCACCTTCAAACCGCTAGTGAACTAAGCGTACTTCAACTAGTTGGGTACCTTGTCATGGAACCTACGCACTCGATTTAAGTCATCGACTTAACATGCGTGGATGTTCGCATATTTCTAGATTTATTTTAGGATTTAACGACGTTGTTCTCTCCACAGTAGGTAACATGCTCGTCGATAGTGAGACGTTTGTGATGACTTTATCAGTCTCGAGATCTATTAGCTCAACAGTCTTTTCATAGGTGTTCATAAAGGGAAAGGTGTGTGCATACATGTATGAGTGTCTGCATGTATACTATGATTCGTAAAAAAAAATCGTGTAGAAACCACACCACACAAATGTCATATGATGAAAATTAGGGCGAAATTGTTGTGTGTGTGGGTGTTAGGAGGGGGGTTGTTTTTTTAAAAAAAAAATCCGGTTGAGTAGTTAGATGTTGTGTAACGTGCGGTTTTAGAGTTGAAGATAGACTACTGAGATATTTTGAGGTTGAAAATTCAGATTTTACCGGTTAGCAATGCTTACGTAAGAGTATGTTACATTGAAAAGAAGACTTAGGCCGCGTTTAGATGCCAAATTTTTTTGGTTTTGGGTACTATAGCCCGTTTGTTTGTATTTGGCAATTAGTGTCTAATTATGGACTAATTAGGTTTGAAAGTTTCGTCTCGCGATTTCTCACCCAACTGTGCAATTAGTTTTTTTTTCTATATTTAGTACTCCATGCATGTGCCGCAAGATTCGATGTGATGGGTACTACGCAAAATTTGTTGGAATCTAAACAGGCCCTTATTCTTTGTAGGCAAGGTTGCCTCCAAACTGAGGTCATGGAGTATCATCTCGTGAAATGTCCCATCGAACAATATAGTGCCGGCTCTCTCACTTCATTTTCTGCAAAATCGAATCATCAGTCTCAACCCCTCTAGATATTTCCAAGCGCACCAGCAATAGTCTCGCTACTTCTGGAATCAGTAACAACAACCACATTTACGCATTTGCAGCTGTACGATGCATCAGCCCATGTATTCTCACAATCTATTAAAGTTTTAGCATCCTTTTGGAAGGGTTTGGTTTGATGAATTATTGCATTCTAGATGAGATAGCGCATCATAAATTTATTTTATAAATTTAATTAAGTAAACTTCTTTACAAGTACTAATTAGAAATAAGATGACGATAGATCAATTCATTCAATTTGCAAACGGAGAAAATGTGAAAGTACTTTATTCTTTGGACCAAACACACTATTAGCACCTAATATTGAATCGATCACTGTCTCTAGTATTTGACACTACTAGATATTTCTCAACTGACAAGGAACGTAATGGAAGATGATGCCATGGACCTAGTCTAATTTTAAGCATGCCCACTCGCCAGGGTAGAATCGCTCACCGAACAAGCAAGACAGTGGAAGTGGAAAGAGGTGGATATTTCCGGAGGAACGTTAGGCTGGACGTGCCTCTCATGGTCATGGGACACCACAGGACCACAGCTTTCACGTCGCTCGTCATGGTTGAAGACAGGCCTGGTTTCTGGTTTAGTTCCTTTCTTTTTCACTTCATTGTCACAAAAATCTTGCTACATAGTCAGGAAGCGTCAAATATACCTAAAAAAACTAATTGCACAGTTTGTTTGAAAATCACGAGACAATATTTGGAAGACAGAGAATGATTAGCAATGGTCTACAGTACTAACCGGATAATGGATTAGTTAGCTTAACAAATCGAGGTAGTAGGTAATATCATGGAGATTAAACAAAACCCTTAAATATTTTCGAAACATCCGATGCGATTGAAAAAGCATTTCAATTAACTAAACATAACCTCCTCCTTCGTCTTTTTCTTTGATCATGTATTGTGGAAAATGGTGCTGGTTTTCAGGAAGCGTCAGTAGCAATATTCAGCGAAACCGTGTTAATGTGTGGAGGACAGAGATAGGTGCAATGGTTTCAGAACCGGAAATGGCAGTTAGCTCAACAACTCGAGGTAGTAGGTAATAAATGGATTAGTAAACAGATTAAAATTGACTCAGAGCGCTTGAAAAGAGCACTAATTTTTGCTAATCCTCTTAATCTATCATTAGGATACATGTATCTTGTGAGATGTGCTGGTTTTCAAGCAGTAGCTACATTATGCTTGGTCCGATGCATCCTCGGAAGATGATGTCAGAATCCAGAGTTTATTTCCTCCATTATCTAAAAGAAAATGTTCGCTAATCCTCTCCCATGTCATCATTATCTATGTTCTGTGACGAGTTAAGTTATGGGAAAAAAACTGTCCGACGTGAAAATACACGTCAATTTGGAAAATCTGTTGACGCAGGAAAATGATGAATTAGGTGATGCTATTTCCTCCATTATCTAAAATCAAATTGTTCGCTAATTCTCTCCCATGTCATCATTATCTATGTTCTGTGACGAGTTAAGTTATGGGGAAAAAAAAAATTGTCCGACGTTTGGTGGGAAAATTACGAGATTACACGTCACACACCGAAAATCTGTTGACGCAGTGAAACTGTAGAATTAGGTGATCCTGTTCCGTGTCGTCATCAGGCGAAGTTTCGAAAAGAAAGTGAAAAACTGAACAATCAAAGGTGCAGATCACTCGGGAAAAAGTCTAAACGAAAGTAACTGGTAAAATAAAGGCATCCATATACAAAACCTACCGCTGATCTGATCATAATATGATAATAATATAACTAGGAAGACGATAAGAGTCCGCAGTAACAATCTCCATCACCTGTACACAGCTACATCAAGCCTACTGAACATGTACGACGACAGGGAGCAGAGCACTGAGCGTGCATGGTGCCAGGAGCCCCAGCTCTGCCCCAACTCCAAACCATGGTGGATCAAGCGTGCCCGCCCTTCCACCCGCCGCGGTAGGCGTTGTCCCTGCGGTTGTTCCTGAAGGCGCAGCAGCCGACGGAGTAGACGATGATGATGAAGACGAGGAAGACGATGCAGACGACGGCGACGCGCTTCCAGTCCCGCTTGACCGTGGCCACCACGCCGGCCTTGCACGACTGGCAGCCGTAGCAGAGCGCCGAGTTGCTCCAGGTCTGGCAGTCCGGGTCCGACGATGAGTTGGGGGGGACCGCCGCCGTCCAGTCCGTGCCGCCGACGTATGTGTAGCCGCAGCTGGTGGGGGGCTTGCAGCAGCCAGACTGCAGGGAGAAGACGTACAGTACAGATGAGTCTTTGAAACAGAACACAAACGTGGCCGGCAGTATCGTGAAATGTTTGGATTCTGCAACCTAAACGGCCGGTGAAAGTGCACCAGGCATGTGCTAGGAACTAAAATTCCTGCTCGAATAATACAAAGGTCAGAGCATTGGGAGCATTGAGGCTGAAGAAACCACTTCAAAATACTAGCAGTAATCCTTTGACAAAATCAACGCTAAGTCTGATGCACTGTTTCTAGATGTACAGTTCAAACTATGTACGTCTGATGAAGATGCACAACCGTACAAGTAACCATCA